TAGTGGTGGTAGTAGTAGCAGCAGCAAGAAACTGGCAGCAGCGCCAGCAGCAGCGGCAAGCGTAGTGACTCTGGCTGTGGCAATGGCAGCCGCGGGGCATGCGTGGTGACAGCATGTATTGCGTGGTATGGATGCTTTCCAAAGACCCTACGCAGGTCACACAGTTGTATGGGATGTCGCAGTTTGCAGTAACAGCAGCAGCGGCAGCAGAAAAAGCGTAGTGACTCTGTCGCAATGGTAGCCACGGCGGCATTCGAGGTGGCAGTATAAATTGTGTAGGACACGCGTCTACTCCAAAGAGCCTATACGCGGGTCACACAGTTTATTGGGATGTCGCACTTCATTCCAGGTAGCGGTGCACTTCGCGGCTCCCACTCCTGCATCTGTGACAGCTGGGGGAAACAGTTTGGATGTTGATCTGGATTGGGCTTGCCCTTAATTGTAAGGCTTGTTCCACTGCGCCTGTGAAGATTGCACCTTCAAAGGAAGCCGGAGTCTACAATAACGGCACTTGCCCCGAAACATGAGACTTTCGCATGTATGGTATTTTGATGCCGAGGATCGGGCGTGATAACGCTGTTCCAGGTAGAGCCTGCGTCTGCAGAAATCCAGAGATCCCGTTCAACTCGAAGTCCAACTCCAGGGACGATGCCTGCCGCTGTTCACCAATATCGAAGTTATTGCGAAAAGCTGCAATGCACTACGAATCGAGACGAAAGGCCAGAGGCAAAGGTGTGCAAGCATCGTGTTTCTTTCAGAAAAAACCGCAAACATCACCTTGAAGATCTTGAGCACCAGTTGGGCATACGCAACGATTAAAAAGCTTCTGTACAGAAAACCGGAGGGGCAGTGAACGCCATGAGCCGCTGCTGCTGGAGGCCACTGCAACTAAGGCGGCTCTGTTTCCTAACTAAAAAGAAAAATATCATAGTACTGCAACCGCCGGAAGCACGAACTCCCTTACAGCTCTCCAGCTAGGCGTGCCTAGCATTCTCAGGAGTGTCTCGTGCAGAGCAAGGATGCTTGGAGGATCGGGGAACTTAGGAAGAAGGTTGTAGAGGAACAAAACCGTGCAAACCACGGCGATGCTTGCAACATCTTGCAACCGTAGCTAACCCCGCTGACTCAGTTCCTGATCTTCCAAGCGAGGGATTGGAGGGAATGTTGCACCCAACTTGCGCTGCCTCTGAGCGACCTGTCTGAACAAGCGAGTACTGGAATGAGCAGCCAAGTTGGAACAACGGCCACGCATTGCATTATGGGGGGAACTTCCGACGTTCGTAAGACCCAATCAGCCGGACGTACTGTCGTCTCTGATGCACAAATACTTGGAAAGCGCCAACACAAGCAAGGTCCCCCTTTGCAATCGTGAAACTGACAGACTGACATATGTATTATGTACACCCTAGCTCGATGTTTGGACTGTTGACAGAGGTCGATGTACATCAGAAACCTCTGCAACAGCTCTGCAATGATGTGCCACTCCATGCCACGCCGAGAGTCTTTGCCAGGGCTTGCCATCGTCATTAGACAGCCGCGACAGCTTTGGCAAGCCTTGTTATCAGACCAAGACATGGCAGAGTCTACCTTCAAAGATAAACCGAGCAGCAAAATGTTGTCAACACACACTGGCGACTAAGGCAGTCGTGGGAACTCTACATCGTCTACACCTGTTCCCAGGAAGCTCAGTGAAGCCAGATGAGTTTAGATGCAGGAGGCCGAGGAAAGGAGCAAAACAATTCGCGGGAGTACCGCGGAGTGGCTGGACAGACGTCCAGTCCGGACAGGGGGTTTCTTACACAGTGGTGCAGTGGTGAGAACCGACGTCGACTTGTCACCAGTCGGACGCCAAGCTGGAAAAACCGAAAGAAGAGGACCTTGACCTAGAGAATGTCTTGTCTGTAAATCTTTGATGACTTTTCACTACTACTACTACTACTACTACTACTACTACTACTACTACTGCCACTGCTTTGGTCCGCAAAACTCGGTCCTAGAGCTGCACCACAGCCCCCTTTTTGAGCGTCTGTATGCGGCACATCTCAAGCCTCAAGAGATCCAGCTGCGCCTCGACTCCCAAGGGAGACTGGGATGGAAAGAGCTTGACCTTTGCTCCAGTGTGATGCTTTTCAAAAACCAGTCGTCACAGTATGACTGTCTTGCTCGTGTGTTACCACTGGTATGACGATTATCCGGCTGTTGGCTCCTTGCTGCCTCCGAGATGCGAGTGGTTGCAGAGGCATCCGCGCTAGAACCCGCTTGAGCTGTCGGAGGCGAAGATTCCCCACTTCTCCGAAGGCCCCGTGCGCATCCGAGTGGATGTCCTGTAGGAACCCCAGAATGCACCTAAACATCCACTTTGTGAGATAGACATCTCTAATTACAATGTTGCAGATGTGATCCTGATCCAGGAGCTTTAGGAGAGGGGCCGCTGGCTCCGTGAGCTCTAGCTGTTGAAGCCTGCATACAATGTAGGGGCGCAAGAGGCTGCGAACATCCTCCTCGCGCATGGTCCGAAGCAGCTGGCGCTGGCGCTTGTCCGGCATTGCTAGGCGTTCGTTGTCATGCCCTTCGTGGCAGTAGTTGCAAGCCGAGCCCGCGGCACAAGAGCCTGCTTTCAGAAGGTGAACGCAAGGCCTCCGGCAAAGTTGAGGATGTGCCAAGCTCCCTGCCGAAGCCCCCGATGCTTCCGGCCACGCCAAGCCCGGTGGCGGTCGAAATACGACTGGCACCATGCTAGCAAATAGACTATTTTGCAGCTTGAGCCGATTGCTTGGACTCGGACTGGAAGACCTGGGCGACTGCTTGGACTTGGCGTGCATGAGGGCATCACACAGGTGCCTCCCAGTACCACCACTTGCTCGTACTTTGTCGGGACCACACACAGTCCTCAATTCTCTGCAAGAAACCGACAAGCATGGAAAAGCATCGACGCAAGATCCTAGGTTCAGCGCACTCATCCTCTCTCCTGTCACGCTCTTCATCACAGAACTCGAACCTGTCAGATTCTCCGAAGTTTTTTGTAATCACAAGCCCTAACCCCCCAGTTACCTACTATATAGGGTACTATAGCCCCTAAGGCCCTATATAGTAGGTACCTGGAGGGTTAGGGAAGGATGTCGAGCCGTACGCTTGACAGAGCTGGGCATGGATGTGGGAAGGCAACGCTTGCCGCACAGCTTCGTAGAAGTCCGCTGAGATTCTTTCCAGATCCACATGGGGGTTTCCCAAAATAGGGTTTGGGGTTTAGGGTTTAGGGTTTGGGGTTTCCCAAGATAGGGGACCCTAATATAGTACCCCCAAATAGTAGGATTCTTATTATAAGGACCCCCAAATAAGGTACCCCTAATTTTCGGAACTGCAGTAATTTGTGGGCATCTATTAACAACATCCTGCCCTTTTCCTCATTGATGTCATCTTAAGATGAGAACGAAAACAAGGCTTGATCCGACCCCACTGCAAAGCGCCGTTGTAACAACACATTCAGAACCGAAGCCCTGCGAGACACGGCAGCTCCTGGCTCCAGCCGCCCGCCCCATGGAACGCGACGGCACATGCAATACCTCCGCACAGCAAAATGGGAAGCATGATGAACGCTTTGCTGAAATGGCGCGGATGCTTTCAGGGAAGTTCTAATTTGGGAACCTCGTTTACAGCTCGAATTACCCTTATCCGCATTCATACCGAATGACAAGCATGGGCGAGATAACAAACACGAATCAGCTAGCCCGCGTCTTCAATTACTTGTGAGGGAAACACCCAAATCCACAGAGTTGAGCGAACAGTGCCGAGTCTTCATGGAGGGTTTGACTTGAGGCAAGTCGCCAAGTGCGGCCACCGTCCTCAGAGGCCCAGAAATCCTGCCGGTATGTGGAGGCAGTGTAGACAACATAATGCAAGATTTAGAATGAGAGCTGTCTTCGTCGTGGCTTGCAAGCGCATACAGCACACCGGTCCTGCGTGCACCGACAGCTCACCTCCTCCTCCGTGAGGATCCCTACAGTACGGCGCGAAAGGAGCACCCGGTTTACATAACTTCAGAAGCAATCCCTGTCCCGTCTAGTTGAATGCGTGGCCCAAGCCAGGGGAATGATCACAAACCTCCATTGAAACATGTCCAAAGCTAGTCTGCCTGAGTATAGCCTACTTGTAAAAGCAGCGGGAGGTGAAACGCATCTTTGCAGTCCTCTGGGCAGAAAGCCCCCTGGCCGCCAGTCACCTGGGTGGATCTCCCACTTTCACTACGGCTCCTGCAAAGTCTTGCACGGATTTGTAAGATGTGTGCTGCTGCGGGTCTCACTGCTTGCGAACTCGCGGCGTAAAGTGCCCTGGCAGTCCCACCTTTCGGGTTCAGGACGCCGGCTGCTGCAAAACGCGACCGACCGGGGAACTTCGAGAGCATCAGCTGCCCATCCTTGAGACAACAACGACTGCGCTGCACTTCGCACTGCACAGAGTTTAGGGACGGAGAGATGGTGCCAGAGCTGTTTTGCTCTATTATGCGCCCCGCTTCAATCGGCTTAGTGCAAGCCTCTTAAATACGCTGGACAGACAGAGCCAGGTGGACAACATGGCCCGCATCACAGAAGAACGAAGCAACTATGATCCTTCAACACCACCGCCATCCGGACAACTCAGGCACACTGACATACAGCTCAGCCTGCACAGCCGAGGGGAGATTCAGGCTCACTTACTAGCGAGAGTCTAGGGTTCAGGGTTTATGGGTTTCAGAACTTGAGCAGAGCTGGCACAAATTTCCGATAAATTAGCACATTTATGCATAATATATCATAGTATGTTATATTACATTGTGGTACACTATATATTCTATCATATCCGCTCATAGTTTGCAAGTCCTTGCATTGCAAAGCCCGGGCTTACATTGATCTCGGCGGAGGGGCCGAGAGCGTGGCGGAAACCTTGCAGGATTCCTGTCGTAGCACTTTTGGGGAGCCAAGGTCCTAGCATTAGGGTCCGTAGTAGGTCCCGTATTCCCTGAGAGCCCATGACTTGCATTTGAGCATACTTCAAGGGTGCGAACAAGCAAGATTCAACAAGCTTCCAACAGGTTCTTGGCTCATAAACACGGCGACTGGCGAATGCCGAACAATCCAAACCCTCCAGCTACGGGCCACATGCCCAGCCCTCCGCACCCCAAGCCGGAACCACCCGAACACGCGAAACCTTCAACTGCCCACTCCATGCTGTAACAGGGGCCAGTGGGTCGCGGCGGCCGTCTTGATGCTCGGAAACTTCCGACCAGGCCCAGTCAGGTTTTCCACCTTTCGGCTCAGGGAGGGTCTTGGTCCTGGTTCGCAGGTTCCAGGTCTGGGGCTCTGGCTGTGGTGCCATCAGCAACAGCGAACCGCACAACGGATTTACGAGTCTCCTCTGCCTTCTTTGTTTCACCGGGTCTGAGCTCAACCGGAGTTCGCAAAAGCGGCGGACCGACGCCACTTGCTGAAAAGCTGCCGATGTTGCAAAGCCGCGCGAACCAAATGTCGTTGAGATGGATGCGGCCATTACCTCACGCAAGACCAGGAGTACTCCCTGAAGTGCTCTCGCCCTCTCTCTGTCTCTCGCTTCCTCTTGCTTGTGTGCCACAGGTGTGTCTGTCGATGTGTCACCTCCACACTTCCACCGGGGACGTTGCAAACACTCATGCGTGCAAGGGTCCGCGTTGGCTCGTCACACTCTGGATACAGTAGAAAATAGGCCATATATACCATGTCAGAGAATATGTTCCGTGACAGAATAGCAGCTGGTGGAGTCCACAACACCTTCTTCTACCATATTATTCCACTGACTCCTGGCGAATCCCTGTCAAGCGCACTGGACTGTGTCAAGTGCTTGGCCTGAGGTCTGCGGGGCCAGCTGGCTGCTCAGTTGTGCGCAAACGCTAGTACACATGGACCGATGTGAGCTACATGACATAGGGAATACTCAATACTCAAGCGTTTAAAAATGTGAGCGTGTGATACGAATGGACTCATACCTGAATGCTGACCTACAACTTACCGATGCATCACATGACGCATACATAGAATTACACGGATGCACACATACAGCCGTACATTACGTTAATACCTTCCTCCATCCATCCGTGCCGAAAGACAGACAGACAGACGGACAGACAGACGACAGACAGCAGCAGACACAGACAGGCAGGCAGGCAGGCAGGCAGGCAGGCAGGCAGGCAGGCAGACAGAGACAGAAGAACAGAGATAGAAAGATGCATAGAGGCATCTATATATATATATATATGCAGACATGCATGCATGCGTGCAGTTGTACCCATGCATGTAGCGACCCGTCATTACACCAGTGCGCCATCTGTATTCACCGTGATCCTCTGAGAATCTCTCGGAAGCTTGGCTTGGCTTACATGCCCCATACCTCCCAAAGACAAAGCAGAGATGCTGCCCCCTAGCAGGAAGAAGGCATCACCGGAGGAGAGGGCGACTGTGGCATAGTGATGCCGAGGGAAGAAGGCGCATCCTGGAAGCTCCTCCAGGGTTCTAAGTTGGGTGTCATAGAGCCTGATACAGGAGCCTTAGCTTGTGGAATAGGCACTTGTAGCGGTATATTGTCGTATAGTGTATAACTCGATTCGGGAATCCTGAGGAATGTCGAACTTGGTGCTGCATTCGCTGTAGGAGGCTGCTTCTGGGATGGACACAATCATCAACGCGCATGCTTCGTAAAGCACATGTCACAGGAAGTCTTGAAGTCGTTAGGGAATCAGGCGTGTCGAGTCTTCTCTCAGTCGTAGAGGCCTCCATGTCCGAAATTTGAACACCGAAGCGCCACTCCACAAACCATCGCCTCCAGTGGAGCGAGATAAAGGCCTTGCCCCAAGCGGCGCGGCTCCGGCAGCCGCTCGGGCGTGGGTGCAGCGAGTGGGCCTCCCAGAGGAGTACGTGGCATCAGCGCAAAAGATGATTTCAGCCTCGTCTCCTAGACAAAGTCAACTGTGTTGCAAAGTTGCTGCCCTCGCGGCCTGGCATCGTGGAGCATCACTTCGCAGCAAGGGCAAACGACCATAAGCTGCAAGTGGATCCGAACGCACACACGAAGGGCTAGCGGTGATCATGGATTTCGTGACGGTAGATATAAAGGAAACCCATGCACCACAGTTTAACAGTCTACATGGGTGTACTTCTTCCTGTGAGTTGCTAGCAGGGCACGACATCATTGAGCTCAATGCCTAAGGCTTAAGTACTAGCTACCGGCGAGTGGCCCTCTTCAGAGCGCGGTTGCAGTGGCTTGAATGTAGGCGCCTTAATATTTAGAACAGGGGTTTTGGGCTCCTCTATGACTAATAGTATAGCTATAGTAAGGAACCCTAAGATTGATTCTGGTAATCATGTTGGCTTCCATATTAAACACCGCCGTCCTACGAGCGTTGCCACTCCTCGCAAGGAACTGCTTTGGTTCCGTCACATTGCTGGCTTGAGGAGATCGGCTCAAACACTCGTCCACACTGCTCGTTGGGAAGCTTCAAGAAGCGTAGATTCTAGATCACGGAGAATCGACATGTCGTGCATTACAATGCAGCTACACTTGATGCACCTGTGTATGTATGTGTACATATATATATATATATATTATATATATATATACATAGACGTGTATGTGTGTATATATATATATATACGAGTACACATGGAGAGGTGGCGATGTGTCCGAATAGATCTTCCGCCTAAGAGGCATCTTGTAAGATCGCGCATGCATTCCTTCTTGACTGCCCCGGGTTTGCCGGACTTGGTACATAATTAGAATAGGGTTTTGGGGCCCATTATGCTATAATAATAATGAGGAACCCCCAAAATAGTATTCTAGCCATTAAGGCCCCTACATTATTGTAGGATCTGGGATGGCCCTGGGGAGCTCAGCCGCAGTGGCTTACAGTTCGCCTCCAAGTTCCAAGCCAGAAGCTCTGTGTCCACATTTCGAGTCATAATGAACTGACTGAATGTGTACATAGCCCAGTCCACACACACACTCACACATGTTGGGTACTTTGTGCTGTTCATGTCAAGTTGATGCGTCGACTTTTTCTGCGTGTTATATTGTCGCATATAATACTACAGACGTTTAATCCGACTCAGTCTCTCGGTAGCCTCGCCATCTATCTTCGATGCCCAGGTCCCAGGGTCCCGGGCAGTACGGCCAAGCTGCGGGCGAGGGCCCGGCGGAAAGACGGACGGCCTGAGGATGCGGAGGGCTCAGACTACTTGGAGGTTCATGGGTAGTTATAAGTGGGGTTATAATTAGGGTAACTATAGTTATAACCCATATTAAGGGACTTATATCCCTACTTATAACTACCCATGAACCTCCAAGTGAGGATGCGGAGGGCTTAGACTGCAGGTCAGGGCTCCGGGTTGGGCTTTAAGATGCTTTAGAGGCCCATTTTCCGTCTGCACGACTAGAAAGGACCCGGCGGTCAGGATTTACCGTAGGGTTTTCGGATGTTTTGTTTAATGCAGTAGCCCTTTCTCTCGGATGTTTAGGGCTTGGGGCTTTCGAAGTTTCAATTTACTGGCAGGGGGAGAGGATAGTTGATGATTCTCGCCGCAAGCTCTTGCGGGCATGGCACCTCCATCTGTAGTTGAAACCTCCCAGTCTTCCTCATCCACGTCCTGGCAACCTCAGGGGCTCAGGCATGACGACGCTCTCAAAGAGCATCCGTCTGTGCTGGCGGCACATGCACCACGCAGTGTACAGACGTCACGGTGTTGCGAATGCGAAATATCCATCAAGTATGTCACGAAACGACATGCAACTCAAGTCTCGCTGGCACGCTGTACTGCAGCCAAGGGAACTTTCGCGAGTGCCGCGCTTGTCTCGAGCGTCGTCTGGAAGGACCTTCTTTCGATGGGTTGGACTGAGCACTTGGTGCTTGGTGGGGTTTGGGCAGCTGCACAGCGTCATAGCTTGCCCGTGTTCCAACATGACCCTCGAATCTGAAATTCGCAACGGGGCGAGTAGCACGTCTATGAGACCTGGAAAACCCCCTCTACGATTGGACCCACACCTCTTTTCGCCGGGCTCTGTCGGAGATGAACGAACTCGTGACTTTGGAAAGCCGGGATCAGACTGAACACGTCGATTCTCTACATCACCATGTAGCTGCTGAGGGACACAAGCGGTTACAGTATGGTCCATGCTGAGAACTAGTGCTGATTTCGCTGTGCTATGAAGAGAAGATAATGATGAGAGGTGCAGCAAAGCACCCGTGGCAGCAGAGCTTCAAGGTGCTGTTATATTATTATATATCATTACATTATATTATACTATTTTATATGACCAGCCGAGAGACTGTGCTTCTTGTGTACAGGTTGCAGAATCCCATGGCTTCCGGTAGCCAGCATTCCGCAGAGAGTGCATCATCCCCGAAAAGGCAGAAAACAAACACATTACGATTAATATTGCTATTGCTATCATTACCATTATGGCTAGTATTATCAGCTTTTCGATTTCGGCAGACCTCCGGCATCATTGGCGAGCTCTCGCTTCTCTCGCTGCCGCGCTCGATCATGGAATCGAGTTCACCTGGAGCCCAAACTACGCCTAAAATTCCTAAAATGGCTTCACTCAGCGGTGCCTATCTAAGGATACTTGAGCTTTCTTGGGTTTTCTGAGTTCTGCATTGCAGGAGCTGCCCGCATGACACAATGGTTTTGTTGAGATGAATTTGGGACTTTTGCACCATGGTACATGAACCAGTCACGAGCTCATGGTTTTCTGATTTTCTTTTAGGATGTACATGGCTTCAAACATCCTCGAAGGTGCGGTGCATGCCGGAAGAGCATACGAACAACCTACAATGGTCTTTGCCAAGAAGATGCACATGCCCCATGCCCCCTGAATGGCACAGCGGTGTCAGATTGCAGGGGAATTTGCTCTGGAGAAGTAGAAATAACATGGCATAATTAAATATAAGATAAATATAGAACACTGAAATCTGATATAGTCATGTCAGATTAGATGATATAATTTTAATATACTACTTGCAATAACACATCATGGAACACAATACAGAAAAATTACATACTATGCTATACTGTACGCTACTACAACATAGCATAACATAATATAACATAACTTAATCTAACGAACAAAGTGTATATAATGCAGCAGCTAGTGAAAGATAATATAAAATAGTATATTATAACGTAATAATATATAATATAACATAACTGGTTATATCATTATATACTATACTTTAATGATATAATACTAGTCATACCATAATGTCTTTGTATTGTACGGTGCTATGTTATATAGTGTTACATTATGTTACATTACTTTCCACATATAGTATTTTTACTCTAATACAAGACAGAATAGAATAGAAAAGAAGACAACACACTATAATATACTATCATAGTGTCTGCTGCATAAAAATAGGCAAAGCTCAGGCCCTGTCCATCGAGGCCATCCAACTCGTCCTCCGAGTCGTGCCCTTTGGTGCACGGCAACCGAACGGCCTTTGGCCTCAGGCTGAGGTAATGCAGGGTCCTTAAAGGATTAGAGCAGGACTTGGGAGTCTTTTGAAGTATAGTGACAATAAGGAACCCTGAGAAATAAAATATACAGGACCCTAAAAAGGTACCCTAATTTAGTGAGCTACCCCCTAAACCCTAAACCCCTAAACCCCCCAATAGGTATTATTCAAGCTTCTACAGTAGCCGGAGAGTGTGGTGGAGGCAGCGGCAACATTAAGAGGCAGAGCAAGTCCGTCACATGCCACAGAGTACCACGAATATGCATGCATGCAAGCATTCGTACATACATTCATTCATCTTTTCATCCATATGTATGACCATCTACGAGTAACTACAACCCTCTGGTACACATTCCACTGCTCATAACCCTACATCCCTCCACCCTAAACGGTTCTAAACCCTAAACCCCTAAACGGCCCCAAACCCCAAAACCCCTAAACGGCCCTAAACCCCAAAACCCCTACTTAAACCCTGAACCCCTAAACAGCCCCTAATCCCCCCCAAAAAACCCTAACTAGATAAACCCGGAACCCCAACTAAGCGAGAGCCATCGGACTGAAAGCTTTTGGGCCCCTGGCAGGTCGGATTTTCCCAGGCCCGGAAATGCCACGGCCAGCCTCTGCTGCAACAGAATAGCAGAATAGAAATCTATCGCGCTGTGATATAGTAGAATGAAGCGTAATATACTAATTAAATTTGTTGCGATATGATATGATATGTTAAGATACATGGGGGCTGTTCTTTATTATGGTTGCAGCCCCTAACTCGAAAATCGTCTTGCGCTTCGCCCTTGCGCGCTCTTGCGCGCACACGGTTTTACACACATTCCCACCCTGTAGTAGCAGTAGTAGTAGGAGTCAGCAGTAGTAGTTTTCCAGTATCGCTGCTTACACAAAGATTCAACTGGCTGGATTGTGCCAGATTGTAGCACAAGATTAGTACTGGAAGTGCCTCGTTTCGGAAGCTGGCTCCATTGTGCCTGATCGTAGTAGTACTGGAAGTGCCTCGTTTCGGAAGCTGGCTGGATTGTGCCTGATCGTAGTACAACATTAGTACTGGAAGTGCCTCGTTTCGGAAGCTGGCTGGATTGTGCCAGATTGTCGTACAAGATTAGTACTGGAAGTGCCTCGTTTCGGAAGCAGTAGCAGTAGCTCAGTATACCT